TAGATAGATAGATAGATAGATAGATAGATAGATAGATAGATAGATAGATAGATAGATAGATAGACAGACAGACAGACAGACAGACAGACAGAGAAGTAGAGTAGAGTAGAGTAGAGTAGAGTAGAGTAGAGAGGAGTAGAGTAGAGTAGAATAGAATAGAATAGAATAGAATAGAATAGAATAGAATAGAATAGAATAGAATAGAATAGAATAGAATAGAATAGAATAGAACTCTTTATTGGCCAAGTGTGATTGGACACAAAGGAATTGATGTAAATGCTCTCAGTATACATAAAAGAAAAGATCATAAAGTACCACACTTAATAATAGCCATAGGGTACAAACTTTTTTTCCAGATTTTCAATAAATAAATAAATAAATAAACAATCAAATCATACTAGGGAATAGTCAATAAAAATCGTTAGGATACAAGCAACAAGGTTACAGTAAAACAGTCATAAGTGGGAGGAGATGGGTGAAAGGAAGGATGGGAGGATTAACAGTAATAGTAATAGTAATGCAGACTTAGTAAATAGTTTGAAAGTGTTGAGGGAATTATTGGATTATTGCAGGGGTCTTCAAACTTGATAGCTTTAAGACTTGTGGACTTCAATTCCCAGAATTCCTCCTCCAGTCATGTTAGCTCAGGAATTCTGGGAGTTGAAGTTCACAAGTCTTAAAGTTGTCAAGTTTAAAGACCCCTGGATTATTGGAAAAAACGTCGATAAATATTATTAAGAACAATTGTTTTCCTTTTGCTCTTTTCCAGTGGGATTTGGGATAAACGCATTTGCAATAAATGCATAACTTCTAATAAAATGCAGCAGCTATAAAACATCTACCATTAATTGCAAATAAAAGCCGGCAATTAGTGCTGCGTTTCATGTAAACTACATTTAAGCCAATGTAAACTTTTGAGATGTTGCCAAGCTTGGAAAACACAGGTTTAAAATCAAGCCTCAGCAAATGCAATGTTAATGCTTGTCAACTGAATCATAAACCGGGTCGATCCAAGTGGGTATTAGGATTGCAACCTTCATAGCAGTAGCACTTAGACTTATATACTGCTTTACAGCGCATAGATCAGGGATTGGTAGTTACAAAAAGAATGGATCAATGACGGGGTCACAATGTACGTTCTCTGACTGACTGATTGATTGATGCCGCCCCTCCGCCCCCCCCCCCCCCCCCATATCGTTAGATTTCATCCACGTCGACCCACTTCTAACTTATTTACCACCTTCGATCGGGTCCTCAAACTTGGCAACTTTAAAACTTGTGGACTTCAACTCCCAGAATTCTAGCTGGCTGAGGAATTCTGGGAGTTGAAGCCCGCAAGTCTTAAAGTTGACCTCTGGTAGATAAACAAAGGAAGCTTGGCTTTCGCAATGCCTCTTGGGTAAAGCGACGGTGGGGGGGCGGTGACAAACCCTGCTCCCGCCGCAAGCGCGTAGCAAAACGCGATTTCTCCTGGGTATTGTAGTTCACCCCACCCCCCAATCCCTTTTGTGAAGGAAGTGACGTCGAAGTAGTGGCAGGTTTCGGCAACGTGGATATGTTTTCCCAGGCTTCCTCGCGCGCCTGAGAAACGAACGGAGCCGGAAATGCCCGAGGTGTCTTGCGGCTCAGCTGGTGGCTGGCTCGGTTCCTTCCTGCGGTGAGCCGGACTTCCTCCGCCTGAGGACTTAAGCAGCCGGGAGTCCCCGGGAGCAGCCTCGGGAAGGAGTCTTACTGAACGGAAAGCCCGCCGTCCTTGGTTCGGGGTTCAGCAGCGACTCGGCGAGGAACGGGGACCGCGAAAGGATGCAACCGGGGAGTGCCCAGATCCGCCTCTGCCGGGTAAGTCCACAGGGAATCCCGTCCTCCCGCCGCTGGTTAGCTTTCTTCTCTTCTTCCCTCTCAGGCCGGCCTTTGGCGACTCATCCACCTATTGTGTATTGGACTACAGTTCCCATCACCCGCAGCCCCGTCCTCCAACACTGGTTAGCTTTCTTTTATTCAGCCCTCTCAGGCCGGCCTTTGGCAACTCAGCCACCTTTTGTGTATTGGACTACGGTTCCCATCATCCACAGCCCGCATTTGGACTACAGTCCCCATCACCTGCAACCCCATCCTCCAACACTGGTTAGCTTTCTTTTATTCGGCCCTCTCAGGCTGGCCTTAGCTGACTTGGCCCCCCGTTGCGTATTGGACTACGGTTCCCATCACCCACAGCCCGCATTTGGACTACAGTTCCCATCACCCGCAGCCCCATCCTCCAACACTGGTTAACTCTCTTTTATTCGGCCCTCTCAAGCCGGCCTGCACTGACTCAGCCTTCTATTGTGTATTGGACTACGGTTCCCATCACCCACAGCCCGCGTTTGGACTACAGTTCCCATCACCCGCAGCCCCGTCCTCCCACACTGTTAGCTTTCTTTTATTCAGCCCTCTCAAGCCGGCCTGCACTGACTCAGCCTTCTATTGTGTATTGGACTATGGTTCCCATCATCCACAGCCTGCATTGGACTACAGTTCGCATCACTTGCAGACTCATCTTCCTGCCACTGGTTCGCTTTCTTTTATTCGGCCCTCTCAGGCTGGCCTTCCCCAATTCAGCCCCATATTGTGTATTGGACTATGGTTCCCATCACCTGCAGCTGCATTGGACTACAGTTTCCATCATCTTCATCCTCCTGTCCTATTAGCTTTCTTCTCTTTGGCTCTCTCAGGCCGGCCTTCCCTGACTCGGCCCCCTATGGTGTATTGGACTACAGTTCCCATCACCCGCAATCTGGGAAATTTGGAGATTCGGGCAGAATCAGAGGATATCAAGTTGGAGAAGGGCATTTTCTTCAAGAACAGCAACCAGCCTATCTGGGAGGCGACTATGGTAGAATTGGAGTGAGAGCTTCCTAATTCTAAGGAATATTTTTAAAAATATTTACTGGGTGCTTTAAAGTCTTGAAAATCTGGCTGCCCACTCTGGTTCTGCAGGATTCTCTGCTCCAAATTTCTTTTCTTTTTCTTTTTTGGCTTGCTTAGATCGGATATAGAATCGTGCTAAATAAAAGTAGGACATGAATATGAATAATTATCATTGGATATGTATATATTCTGGTATTACCTGTTGTCAGCGCTACCCACGCATGTTGATAGAAACTCTCTTACTTGTAAGTTGTTGCTTATTCCTGTCCTCCAGTGTTAGATTAATAGAAGTGCTAGAATTCAGTACTGCAGCACTTTGTATTTTAGGTGGGGGTAGGTGGAAGTCATGTATGTGTTCATACATGAAGAATATATCGGAGAAAGAACAAATATAGTGGTACCTTCATACTCATCGTTAATTGTTTCTGGGAGGTGTGATGAGTTCCAAAAATGATGAGTACCAAACAATTTTTTCCCCACAAGAAATAATATAGTGAGTCACAAGGCAGCCGACACTGACAGGTTTTAATTTGTGGGTTGAGTACCAAACAGACAAGTACTAGGACAAAATGTTCACATCAAAATGCGTTGAGTACCAAATCTGATTATTTCCAAGCAGTTGAGTACCAAGGTACCACTGTCAGGATAAATGTGCCTGAATTAAAACGGTGATTGATTCCTGTACAAAATTAGCAGTGCTGCTTTTAAAAAGTTCATTCCAAAGTAGGGAAACTTCAGATCGATTTCTGAAAGGCAAGTTTGCAAGGGCAAAGGGAAATGAATGCGAAATGCACCCTTTAAATTGCCAACTTCAATTCACTGGAATTTACAGCTTCATTTTGACATGTTAGTCTTGTTTTTCACAGAAATTGTAGGGAAAACAAGTTTATAGATATGTGTAGTGTTTGCTTAAAGTTTTATCTTAACTGCTTTTGAAAAGTTGCTGTGCTTTTTAGTCCAGCAGTCACTTAAGCTTTTTTTCCCCCCTAGTTACTTTAACTAATTTAACACTTTAAAATTATTAAAATTATTATCCTGGTGGAAGTGTTTGATATGATAGTTAGCTTTTTCTCAGTACCTGTGTAGTAAAAATTACAGTATAGGATAAAAGTTTGCCTGTCAGGTTTTAATCTTTCTTCTCATCCCTGCTTACAACAGCGATATGTTACAACAGCAATATGTACTACTTATGTGATCGTGGTTTGAAGTTCATTTCCAATGATTTAATAAGAGCTGACAAATGAAATAATGAAGCATAAAATTAACAGTTTGTCATTCCCGATCTTGTTTATTCTTTAAAATATATTCTACCTTTCTGCCACAGTATGACTGAAAAGGGCTGACATAATATCCAAAACAGTCATAGCACAAATCAACAAAACAACAGCTTAAAGAAATAAGCCAGAAAAACCATCTAAACTGGGTCAAAGGATCAGGGAGACAAAAGAGGGACAGAAAATCATTTGAAAGGTCTGTGATCTTCTTGTTCTTCTCTTGTGTTCTCTAAAACAGCCACAACTTTCCCCAACTCCAGATTTACTACACTGTTACTGTACTCCCATCAACCTCAGGCAGCAGGACCAATATCCATTTGTAGAAGGACAGAAGTTACTCAGGAACTGAAGTAGCATTTAGATCAGTGCTTTTGTTCTGTGGATATTAAAATACACTGAAGTCCGATGGCATAGAGCAGAGTCCAATGTGGTAGACAAGTTAAATGGATTTTTTTAACCTTTTCAGCTGAATATTAATGAATTAAATATTTATGGCAAGCCATATTCTATTTATATCATTGTTTTTTTTGCTGTTTATTATAGATGTAACCCTCTTACGAACCAATACATGCTGTTTGGAATCAGTGAACAATAATGAGTGGTGCAGCTTTGGGCATTGAGATAGTTGTCGTCTTCTTTTTGGCATTAATCATACTTCAGCGATATGGTGACTTCAAAAAGCAGCACAAACTTGTGATCGTTGCAACTTTATTAGCTTGGTATCTTTGTTTTCTCATAGTCTTTATACTGCCCTTAGATGTCACTACGGTAAGAATTTCCATATTTATTTTCTCCTTTTTAATAAAATTTGGTTATAATTTTTCCATAGGATTGGCAGATAAGAACTTACTGTTATTTGGTTGTAATAATTTATTTTCAAAAATTACGTCAGATATCTAATATCTAATGTAAAGTGTGCTTATTCAATAATTTGAGCCTATTCACTTTATTATACATTTTCTTGACACATCGTGTAAGGATACATTCTCTCATTCCATACTTTCTGAATGAGCTGCTTAAAAGCAAAGGATAATTGACACACATCAACATAGCAAAATTGGGGCTTTTCATTTTGGGAAGCTAGTGTATTTGATGAATATAATAGACCAATGTCTTTATAACTCTTATTTTACTTTTGTCCAATTGCTGACTTTTTGTTTTCTAGACTATATACAATCGGTGTAAGCTTGATCTAAATGACTCACACCCAAATCCCACCAACAGTGGATCAGCAGTGCAACATCAAGACACTAATCCCACTCAGAGGTACCAAGGCATAAACAAATTAATTTCTTTTTTTTTTTTATCTGAAAAAAATCTCTCGACAACCATGTAACATTGGCAGGGCAAGGAGTCTTTCTCTTAACAAAAATGAGAAAAATGTCATGAGAATGTGAAGTCCTCAGTGAGATGTCAATAAAACTTATTTAATTCAGAGTGGTGTAATTTGGCATAAAGATGTTGTAATATGGTTTTTTTTATTATTACATAGCACAGGTAGTCCTCGACTTACAACAGTTCATTTTAGTGACCGTTTAAAGTTACGACACTGAAAAAAGTGACGACTGTTTTTCACAATTACGACCTTTGTAGCATCCCCATGATCATGTGATCAAAATTCAGATGTTTGGCAACTGGTTTATATTTATGACTGTTGCTGTGTCCCAAGGTCCTGTGATCCATGGGTGGGCTTCAACTGGTGTTACTATCGGTTCGGTGAGAATGCGTTTTGCGTGCGAATGTTATAGCATTTGCAAAAAAACCAGCTGTGCCCAGGGGTGGGATTCAGTTTTTTTAACAACTGGTTCTGTGGGCGTGATTTAGTTGGTGGGCGTGGCTTGGTGGTCATGTGACTGGCTGGGTGTGGCCAACTCAACATCACTCACATTGAGGCACGCATCTCCTCGCCTGGCCTCTCATGACTGTGGGGATGCTGCAACAGTCGTAAGTGAAAAATGGTCACAAGTCACTTTTTTCAGTGCCATTGTAACTTTGAATGGTCACTCCACACAAGCAAAGTACCAGCAAAGGAGGCAAAAAAACTCCAGAGAAGTTCCTGAGACAGGAAGTCTAGTCCTGCCAAGAATGTAATAAGGGTTAATGGAGAGGCAGTTTCTGTAAGCAACACCAGAATGTTTCCTTCCTGCCTTCCTTACAGAATTAGGCCAGTAATTTCTTCTAACAACTGGTTCTCCGAACTGCTTAGAACGTTAACAACCGGTTCTAGCGAATAGGTGCGAACCTGTAGAATCCCACCTCTGGCTGTGCCGTCTGGACAGCTGACAAGCGCTGCACGCAGGTGCGCAGCATTTGAAAATCCTCTTCTTTCCTGCTTTTTCAACCTCAGCTATGCTGTGCAAAGCAGCTGGGGTTCAAAAAGCAAGAAATAAAGGACAACCAAGAGCCCAGGCAGGTGGGCCAAACAGACGACCAAAAATTCATCGCAGCGAATCAGTTCAGTGTCTGCTGTTCTTCAGAGCTACCGGTTCTATAGAACCGGGCCAAACCGATAGCATCCTACCCCTGATGTGATCGCCTTCTGCCACCTTCTGACAAGCAAAGTCAGTGGGGAAGCCAAGTTCATCTAACAACCAGGTTACTAACATCAACTGCAGTGATTCACTTAACGTCTGAGGCAAGAAAGACCATAAAATGGGGCAAAACTCACTTAACAAATGTCTCACTTAACAACAGAAACAAATCAGTCTCATTCACATTCACATAGTTATGAGCTCTCTTATTATTCTAATAATTCATGTAGTCCTCGAGTTACAGAAGTAATTGGGATTGCAGTTTCAGTCACTACCAATGCAGTCATAAAGTGCAACGTCACATGACCTCATAGCAATGGTAACCCCAGCACTCCACAGTTGCCATTGTTAACTGAACTCCACCAATGATTACCCAAGAATCCATCACACTTCAAACTATTCTTGGCTTGGTCTAATCCAGCCCTGAGCCTCAGTTCTTCCAAGTTAAGACACTGCCTCCTCTTCAGTTCCCTCAACCTCCTAACCCCTCTCCCCTCCTCCACACTCTGCCTTGCAAGCAGCTTCTAGAGCAGGGATGTCGAGTTCATTGAGGGCCGCATCAGGGTTGTGTTTGATCTCCGGTGGGTGGGGCAGATGGGTGTGACTGGGGTGGGCATGGCCAGGGTGCCAAGGACCACACATGGTCCTCCTGACCTCCATTTTTGGCTGCAAGGGCTTCCTGCAGCGCTCTGTCAGTGAAAACGGAACTTGGGATGGCCCCGCAGGCTAAATCTAAGCATCCGGAGACCAGATCCAGCCCGCAGCCCTTGAGTTTGTTACCCCTGTTCCAGAGCTTCTTGCCACTCTTCAATTCAGGACTTTCTTTGGAGCGTTGCAGTTGTGGGCCTGCAAGAAGCCCCTGAGCTGTGGGACCAGTCGCAGCTGCCCTGGGAATCCCCAGCTGCCCCAGCCCAGCCCAGCCCAGCCCAGCCCAGTAACATGACGCAAGTTGTCCTTTGCTTCCTTGGGCTCCACTACTCCAGCTGGCCTTTGCTGTCTCAACTCAGTGGTTAAACAAAGGGGTTGCTAAGTGAAAACACAACTGTACTTGTGATCTTTCTTCAGCTTCCCATTTCTTTACACACCTCCAAAGTTTGTAAATGTGAGGATTGGTCATAAGGCTACTTTTTCATCACTTTTGCAACTGCAGTTGTTAAAAGGGGAACTATCTATACTGTATATAATTAAGATAAACTTTATTGTCATTTTTTTCTGTGAGCACACTGGCACACATTAAAAAATTAAATTCTGATGCCCGCTGTCGAAAGAATACACACACACACACACACACACACACGTGTGTTCTCTGTCTATTTATCTATACACACACACACACACCAGGAGTTCATATTACCTAAATGTACTTTTTAGGTAGCTGTCATTCAGGCACCTTTTTCATTTTTCTTGCAATTTGTGGGGCTCCTGTGAGCTTTGTGAGAGGCTTATTATTTGCATTGCAACACAGCCTTTCTCAGAATATTGCTTCCCCCATCAAAATTCAGTGCTTTGTTTTCTGTATCATGCATATGTTAAATGCTAACTCTCTCATTGTCTTTATAGTAAACAAAAATGTATCAAACCATGGAGTTATATCCCTGATAGAATTATGCCCATTTTTTGGCGTGTTGTATACTGGACATCACAGTTTTTAACATGGTAAGTATTGTGGAAATTTCTGGAATGCTTGAAACAGCCTACATTAAAATGTTCAGAGGAACTACAGTTTATACATTTGAATATCTTATCACTTGAATGTTCATCACTAACGTGAAAACTTTGGGACATTTTAATTGAAAGACAGATTTGCCCACCAGGAAGTATCAAACTTCTTTACGTTTTTAAGACAGTTCTTCTCTCTATTCTAGCCAAGTGAAATAATCTTATTTAAGCCATCAGAGAAGCTAAACTGAGGAAGGATCTTGGCTTTGCTATAAAATAGCTGCTATGTTCACTGAGTCAGTTGGATATACGTTTTTGTCGCAGGTGGTGACAAAATATGAACTTGGTACCTGCTGCCAAGGATAGATTTACTCAACATGCCAGTGCTACAGTTCTGAAATCAGTTCTGTGAAGTAACTGCTTGCTTCCTTTTGATTTATTCTTTGCCTCTTAGAATAAGACGTTTCAGAAATATTATAGCTGCCAGTTTTTCTAAAATTTAGGATTATTCGTATGTGTATAAGGGGGCCAAGTATTTACTTCTGACCAAGGAAAAAGGATGAAACTCTTGCTATATTCATTGTCCTCTTCATTCCTAGGATTCTGTTACCCTTTATGCAGTCCTATGCTAGATCAGGAGGTTTTTCCATTACTGGGAAGATTAAAACAGCATTAATTGAAAATGCTATATATTATGGAACGTACCTTTTGATTTTTGGGGCGTTTTTGATATATGTAGCTATAAATCCAAACATCAGCTTGCAATGGTAAGTAATATTGCTAAGCCTTTAGTATATTAGTATGTTGCATATTTAGATTGTTATTTAGTGATTGGAGGAGCTAGGGCTTAGAACTTATGTTGTTGAATTTGATTTTAAGATACGATATTTAATACCTAGTTGCAGGTAATTTTTACTATTCTTAGGGGTTTTTTTGTGGATGAAAGTATATCGAGTTTCACTGATCCAATATGGCTTTTGCCTCATACTAGTTAAGGCAGGGGTGTCACACTCACCTCATCACATTGATGTCACGTGATGTATTGTGACATTTTTTGCCTTTGCGGAACAGGGGTGAGTGTGGCCTGCGCATGATGCATCCGGCCTGCAGGCCGCCAGTTTGACAACCCTGAACTAAGGGATGCAGTGGCTCAGTGGTTAGGACGCTGAGTCTTAGATTGTTACAGTTCTAGAAATTGGCAGTTTAAGACCTGAGAGCCGCAAGACGGAGTGAGCGCATGTCACTTGTTCCAGCTCCTGCCAACCTAGCAGTTAGAAAGCATGCAAATGTAAGTAGATGAATAGGTATCAGATATATAGACTGGGTGAAACCAGGCTCAATAGCAGTAACTGGGAGAAGGATCTTGGAGTCTTAGTGGACAACCAGCTAAGTAGGAGCCAGCAGTGTGCAGCAGCAGCCAAAAAAGCTAATGCAATCCTAAGTTGCATTAACAGAGGGATACAGTCGAGATCAAGTGAGGTACTAATACCACTCTATAAAGCCTTAGTAAGACCACACCTAGAGTACTGCATCCATTTTTTATCACCACACTATAAAAAGATGTTGAGACTCTATAAAAAGTACAGAGAAGAGCAACCAGGATGATTAGGGGACTGGAGACTAAAACATACAAAGAACGGTTACAGGTACTGGGCTTGGCTAGTCTAGTGAAGAGAAGGACCAAGGGAGACATGATAACGGTCTTCCAATATCTGAGGGGCTGCCACAGAGAGGAAGGAGTCAAGCTATTTTCTAAAGCACCTATAGGCCAGACAAGGAATAATGGATAGAAACTGAACAAGGAGAGATTTAACCTGGACAGTGAGACAATCAACCAGTGGAACAGTTTGCCTTCGGAAGTTGTGGGAGCGCCATCACTTGAGACTTTCAAGAAGAGATTGGACTGTCATTTGCCAGAAATGGTGTAGGGTCTCCCGCTCGGGCAGGGAGGTTGGACTAGATGACCTACAAGGTCCCTTCCAATTCTGATTATCTGTTATCTGTTATACGCATGCGGGAAGATAACAGTGTTCCGTGTATTACCATATGCTCTGTGCTGTGGTGTGATGTCATGCTGGCCACATAACCACAGAAACATCTCCAGACAATACTGCCTGTTAGCTTAAGAAACGGAGATGAGCACCAATCTGTAAGGTCACAATTAGCAGGGTATAACCTGCAGGGACACCTTTGTCTTTTCATCATACTACCGTGTTTCTCCAACATTGCGGCCTCCACCAATAGGAAGGCCCAGCATGATTTCTAGGCATGAGGTGAAATTAAGCCCCGCCCCCAAAATTTAGGCCTATTTAAACCATGCATTTCCCCGCCATTTCTCACATCGTTCGTTAGAACTACACGAAGTGAAGAGAAATGGGGGGGGGGGAAGGGCGGGGGGATGGGAAGAAAACTTGCCTTTAGGAGTGCCCTGCAGGTAGCCTAGGCTAGAATACCCCGATAGCCGATAGAAGCTCCCTGAAGGCAGAGTCCCCAGCCGCTTCAGGGCGTGGCGTAGCTGCCCATGTCCCCTCGCCTTTAGGCAGGCTCTTTCGGGCGATGGAAGCTTCCCAAATACAGTCAACAGCCACTTCGATCGGCCGGGTGAAGCAGCCTCGGGGCGAGCGCACACACAGACTCCCCTCACCGCGAGGCCACTTCTTGTTTTATGTATCATTGTTTTATGTATCATCAAAATTCATATGGACCTCTTGGATATAGCAAATTATTGTACTTTTAATATATCAGAGGTCTTCAAACTTGGCAACTTTAAGATTTGTGGAGTTCAACTCCCAGAATTCTCCAGTCTGTAATATATCAACCATGTATTAAATTATACTCTGGAAAAGGAATCATTAGTCATATAATAAGTACGATAGAAAAAGAATTTAATATTTTTCTGATAAAAATATTTGATTGATTGATTATGGGCCATCAACATGGTGTTGACTGTTAGCAGCCTTATAAGTAGATTTTCTCCAGGATTTTATATAACAGTGGTTTGAAATCTTTAGTACTTACTGCATATGAAATCCCAGGCCACTTTTTCTGTTTTAGGAGTCAGCTGCAGACAATTGGAATAGCTGCTGCCAATACCTGGGGCCTGTTTCTGCTTGTGTTGCTGTTAGGATACGGCTTAGTAGAAATTCCTCGTTCTCACTGGAATGGAGCTAAAAAGGGCTATCTTCTCATGAAGACCTACTTCAAGGCTGCTAAACTGATGACTGAAAAGGCAGATGCAGAAGAAAACCTGGAGGATGTTATGGAGGCAAGTAAAAATCCACAGCTTAATGCAGGGATACAAAAGGAAGTAGATAAAAAATTTTGAGAAACAAAATGCTAAAGGTACATACAATTTCTTGATATCTAGGATAGCAAGAAAGTTAACAAGCACTGTGATGACCCGAGGTGTGGCACAAAGGCAACACAGTCAAATAAACAATAAGAGTCCCTTTATTATCTCCAACTTTGCCCCCAATATCCAGGTTACCTTCGGCTGGAGAAAAACTCTCCCAGGAACAGCCTTTAACTGTAGAAAATTCAGTCCAAAACAAGGTACACACAAACTGTAACTTAAAATCCAAACAAACCAAACTGAAGTAATTAGTTTGACAGGGCAGGAGCAGGAATTTCAGACTTGAAAGCACAGTAAAACTCACACAGTTGGGAAGAAGCCAGGAACACAGATAAGCCACGACGATACAAGATAAATTCACGTTTGCTCCCAACAGCTTGCTGTGCGCAGTTTCCTTTTTTTATACACTGTGTTCCCAGCTACAGCTAATGAAGGGAATCGGGGCCCTTTTCTTTCCCTGTAAGCCATGCAACCCACGTTGCTCTTTTTTCCATTCCTCCCTGCATGCCCTAGGATGAAGGGGGATAGGCCTGGGTCTTCCTCTGAATTCCCTCTCTGCTGCTCTGTCCAGCCAGACTTTGCCCTTCCCCAGTTTCTTCCACAGCCAGCAGAACTACACTCCCACTCCCTGTCAGCTGTTCAGCCTCCCCCTCCTAATCAGATTCTGACAGGGGCATGACAAGCACTTTGGATTATGTCAGCTGCAATGCTATTCAATACTGTAAAGGGAATTTCCTACTCCCTTATTTAATAATTTCAACTCTTAATTTTTAAACATAAAACCTCCAGGCCCCAGAGCCAAAGAGCATAAATGGTGCAAAGTAAAAAGAGGACTCCATTACAAATAATGTTGCCTGCTTTTCCATCCTTTTACTAAAACAGGTTTCGAAATCAATTCTTCAATGAGTCTGTCAGTGCTTGTAAAAGTCCAACCTTTTTGTAAAATATTTTAAATTTAACTGAACGTCATATTAAAAGTTTCTCTGTGTAGAAATTATATTTCTGATTGGTTTTTCTTTTTCTCTTCACGTAAACAGGAGGTCCGTAAAGTAAAAGAAAGCATCAAATACAACCATCCTTTGAGAAAATGTGTGGATACAATATTAAAAAAGGTAGCTTAATCAAGCAGTATTAGATGTTGCCACAGGAGTATGAAATTATCAGTGCAGCATAAGAAGGCTAATTCAACCCTGGTTAAAGGATATTTTCCCTTTTTTCAGTAGATAGTAGGATACCTTGACTTAATCTCAGTGTTCCATTGTGCCAGGTCAGGCCCAGAATTACGGCCACTTGTACTGTAGCAATCAGGAGAAAAATTACTGCAAATAGCCATAGGAAATATCATAGGAGAAAGACCTTTACTAATTTCAGTATTTTCACTTGTATACAGCCACTTTGGCAGAAGAAAAGGCAAACCGCACAAAAGCTCAGGATTTTCAGACAAAAATCCCAAAGTGCTTTTTGACGAGGCAATTGGACTTTCTCTGAAGATGTTTCACTTCTCATACAAGAAGCTTCTTCAGCTCTTCAGAAGGTCCAGTTGCCTTGTGAAAAAGCGCCTTTGGGACAACCATGACCTGGATGACTGAGGATCTCCATAGACATTCTGACAAAAAATATTCCTGCAGGACTACGGGTGGTTCTCAACTTACAACATTCATTTAGCAACCATTTGAATTTACAACAGCACTGAAAAAAGGGACGTATGACCATTTATCATACTTATGACGGTTGCAGCAGGCCTGTGGTCACATGATCAAAATTCAGCCGCTTGGCAACTGGCATGGTTTTATGACGGTTGCAGGGTCTTGGGCTCATGGTCACATTTTGCAACCTTCAAACACTTGGCAACTGACTCATGTTGAGGATGGTTGCAGTGTCCCAACGTATGATCACCTTTTGTGACCCTCTGATTAGCAAGGTCAATGGGGAAGCCAGCTTCACTTAATAACTATGTTACTAACTTAACAACTGCAGTGGTTCACTTAACGGTTGCGGTAAGAAAGGATGCAAAATAGGGCAAAACTCACTTAACAACTGTCTTGCTTAGCAACGGACATTCTGGGCTCGTAAGTTGAGGACTACCTGTAATCAGAATTTTGTGATTGTATTTCTGTAGTAGACACTATTTAGATTCCTCATTTTAACAGATCAAGGAAACAAGATAGCCCACTGCTTTCTTCTTTGCTAGAGAAACTTTGGATAAAAAGAAGGAAAATAAGAGCTCAGGTATCATCAGAGGAGATCATTTTTAAGGCTTCAGTTATTTTTTCAAATGAGCTCAATGATAGGCTTTGATATAGAGCAGGGGTCTCAAACTCGCGGGCCAATTGCAGCCCGCAGGATGATATCCTGTGGCCCCCACCGTGATATGAAAGTATAATATTAGTGCGGCCCGCAGGGGGAATGGACCTCTGAAGGAAGTCCCGCCTGCCGTTCCTCGTCGTGGCTTCTTCTCCACCCTGAACTTTAACAAGTCCAAGTGCAGGTCCAGACTTACTGATGATCATCTTCAAGCCATACTGAGGGTCTCAAGTGCCTCCTCTCTCAAGCCAAATGTGGCTCAGATATGTGAGAGGAAGCGTTGTCAAGTCTCTGGCAGCAAGGAGTAAGCTGGAGAAGCCATGTTCTGAGCAACTGTTCATGATCTTCATTCAATGTTCCATTCATGTGTTCAGGACAGTTCATGTATTGGAGAAATCATTAACTGTTGATGACATTTGAGGATATTTTTTTAACAATGTTTTTTGTGGAATCCCTTATGCGGCCCAGCCTCACCCAGATTCTGCCTCCAGCGGCCCCCAGGTAAATTGAGTTTGAGACCCCTGATATAGAGGCTTGATATAGACTGCAATATAATTTCTTTTTATTTCAGTGTCCTACAGAATATCAAGATAGGATGGGTCGAAACATAGATGATTATGAAGACTTTGAAGAAAGATCCAATACTTATCCAACAGAGAAAAACCTAGTGAAGCTTCATAAGCAGGTAGTTAGATAATGTAAATGACATGTGTTCAATACATGTGAAATTGCAGCAGATGTATAACCAGAACGTGCAGATAGGATAACATACACATGTGAGAGAATAATCCCTGCATTCCATTTAATCCAAATAATCCAAAAGTTCCCTTCCTTGGTAGACCTCCTCAAGGACACCTCTGGATATTTGCACCCATTGCTGTGTTTGTTTTCTCTTGAATGTATTTGAATTTAAAGTTATAGTCTAAGAGGTCAAGACTCAGGTAAACAAGCTACTTTTGTGTTGGGCTTCCTATAATCACACCATAGAGCAGATGATTATTCAAATGCAGCCTGATATTCCTCAGGCCGTACCACTGCATTGGATTTGTTTTGGATTAGATCCAAATCTAATGTAATTTGGCTATACTGGGGTGCATATATCCTTTAGCTCTGTCATAACAATTGCCCCTGTCTTTTCTTTACATGTAAAGGGACTTTACATTCCTGGAAAACCTGTACATTGGTATTCAAATATGATAAGAGTCCTGGGACCCACACAGTGTTCCAAATAATATACTGGTATCATTTAGGCCAGTCTGGGATTTTGAGGGCCCTTGATTGTTTGTCTAGCCCCTCTGGTGCCTGGAATACATTTCTAGTTAGTCTAGGCCACGAGTGTCAAGCTCACGTCGTCACAGCGGTGTCACATGACATATTGGGACTTTTTCTTGGGACTTTGCTAAACTGGGCATGGGCGTGGCCAGTGCGTGATGCACTCGGCCCACGGGCCACGAGTTTGGCAGCCCTGGTCTAGGCAATGCTGTGGTTGAAAAGATGGTCATACCATCCAACAAAGTCATTTCAAATCCTCAGCACCTATTTGTCCAATCTTTGGAAAGTTATAAGTGCATTTCAGAGATCAAACAAGAGCACCATATAAACAGATTGAAGATATGATAAATGCTTAATTTTTGCTAATCCCTGTAGTATACCTAGATGCAGATTTCTGTCAGGCTTGGAGACCAGGACAAGCTGCTCTGGAATCTTAGACAGATTTTTAGTTATCATCTTGCTGTCTCTTGAAAGTCTGTTGTTTTACTCCTAAGATTTAATCACAACATCTCAATACATTCTCTGCCTTTCAGAGGATCTATTTCTGTATTATATAATTGCTATAAGTGCTCTGAGTAGATAAATTAATCTCGGGTTCCAGAGGTATTTGCCCTTCCACTGTAATTCCTCTGTTTCAGCAGCATCTCTTGCCTGGATGTCCCTGATTTTTAGGGAGATCTCCAGCTGATCAAGATTAATCTTGGCTGACTCTTTTTACCCCTCCCTGTGTCCTGTTGCTTCCTCTTCTACTGAAAATGTTTTCTGCTTCAGTTTTCGTGAGCTTTGGAGACTGCAGAGTAGGGGGAAATTTTATATTTTTCCAGCTCCAGACCACAGATTCATGGGAATTCTACCCCCAGTTTCCAAAGATGCACAGTCTTTCCAGTAGGGAAAAGGGCTGGCCATCTGACAGAGAACATGTCTTCCTCACTGATGTGAATTACATGTCTGAGCTGCAGTGTGCAAATCTGGCATGTAATCTACATACTTTTCCCCCCTCTAGGTATTCATTATATGAGCCTAAGAATGACCAAGTAATGAAGTTAATTTGTGCTGTCTTTCCAAACTCTTTCTGTTTATTTTGCTAGAATAGTTGGGTATCTGAACTCAAGTTGTCTTAGCTATTTACAATGCTACAAAATATATAATTATTTCCAGTCTTATTTTTAAGCATGCACTGTATTCTAAGCAGGTGTGCTTACAATACAATGTGCTTAGTGCATGAAAATATATCCACATATATCCATAATCAGTGATGCTAATCAAGGTGTTGGTGGAAGACAAGTTCCTATGTATTTAATATAATGTGTATGCAGGAAGATATTTGGTAAATTGAGCCATATTCCTCATAAAAATTATTCCTATCTTTATTTTGGTGTGTGCATGCATATATACACATACATTCATTCTATGGAGTGGAATGTTTATTCTGTTTATTAAGAAAGCACTTGTTGGAGTTTTTAGGGAATCATCTCTATCTTATTCTGTCCTTATTGCCATAGATAACTAGAATGTTGTTTTTATTTTGTTAGGTAATTTATTCAGTTCAAAGGCATCGTCGTACACAAGTCCAGTGGCAAATTCTTTTAGAGCAAGCCTTTTACCTGGAAGATGTGGCAAAAAATGAATCCAGTGCCACTCGTCAATTTGTTCATACTTTTCAGTCTCAAGAAGCTGAAAACAAAATTATCCAATATCTCTATTCACCAGCTCTTGGTATGTTTTGTTATACCCATAATAGAATACGTATTTTAAACAAACCCTCTAAAATAATGAAAAGGATTCAACCCACTCCATCCTAAGTTTATGGCATTATTTTTTTTAAAAAACCATTCAAACCTTGTTCCTTATCATTTTCTATTTAGGTTTAATTTTGTACGTGAGGTTCATCCTGTGTCCTCTTACTATTTGCTCTACCTTGCTATAGGTACTTCAGCTCAAGGGCTGCTACTAGAAAAGATATAAATAGCTTTTGACTTATGACCACAATTGGGACCAGAAAAATTATCGTTAAATGCTCTGGTCATTAAAGTGAGGCATCATGCGACCATCTGATTCTTAACAACCTGATTTTTACTGCATCGTGAAGCAAAATGTCACATGCTTGCAATCTGTAGCCTTCCCTGCCCGCTTCGCCATTGATTCTGCTTGTCGGAAACCAGCTGGAAAGGTTAAAAATGGTAATCATGTGACTCTGGGACCCTGCAACTATCATAAAGGTGAACCTGCAATGGCCATAAATGTAGGTCACTTTTTTTCAGTGAGGTTCTAACTTCAAAGAGTTGCTGAACAAATAGTCATAAATCAAGGACTACCTGAAACGATTTTCATATTTTCTCCCCTTTGTTGTTTGTTTTGTTTTGCTTTGCTTTAGAATGGTATTGGGAATGTCTTCTACGACCATGGTTCCACAGGATTCTCGCCATTATCCTGGCCATCTTTTCCATCGTTGTTGTGTGGTCAGAATGCACGTTTTTCAGCCCAAAGCCAGTTCTGTCCCTCTTTGCAGTCTTCATACGACTAGCGGAAAAGAATTACAACTATTTTTACATAGAGGTCAGTTAATCTGATGGCTTGGCAATTTCTCTCATATTTATATGTAGGAGCCTATTGTTAAGTTCTGCATTCATTGACTTTGAGGAAACTGCTTAGATTTACAGCAAGCTTATTTGTTAGAGCTATTCAAGTTTGGGATTAGAAGGCAATTCACTACTTTGGTTAGGTCATTCACATGGCACCTGTCTGCAGCTGTTAATTGAACCAAATAACAACTCTAGTTTCTTGTTTTGCAGATGGCTTGTTTTTTTACAATCTTTTTCCTGAGTATCTGCGTTTATTCTACGGTCTTCAGGATCCGTGTATTCAACTATTATTACTTAGCTTCACACCATCAGACAGATGCATACAGTTTACTCTTCAGTGGCATGTAAGTATTTATTTTGCTACTTGTGCTGTTTGGCCAGTTACAGTCAATGTAAAGCAGGAATGCACTGAAATATAATTAGATCTTGGTCAAAACCCAGAGTCCACAATAGCTCTTGATTTAATGTTTAATCAGATGAGATCATCAATTAGTACATGTGATAATTATGTAATTAGCAGAAGGAGAATCTCAGAAACTGCTCCATGCTGTGCAGAAGAGTCTCATTCATAGGAGACTTAAGGGAGAGAAGCACTGAGAAACTGGGCAGAGGGATCTCCTGTACAATATCTCCCTTCTTCCTGCCCATTCCACTCCGTTCGGTAGAGACTCAACTCCCAACTTTTGGAAAAGGATTTATCAATAAAAAAGTATATTTGTAGCTCAGGTTTGAAATGAGGGGTGCTTGGTGCTCTCTGAGCTTGGTTGTTTTGTTGCCGATAATGAAGTTTACAAGAAAACATCCAGTGTCAGTACTAGCACCGACGATGTTATCTAGGTTGGGTAGAGTTGGGTAGAGCAAAGAAAGCAACCAAGCTCAGAAAGTGCTAAGGATCTCTCAGAAGAGTGTTTTCTGGAGGTTGCTGGGAACAGAAAGAGGAAATCTGTTTGGATTCATCTTCTTCCAGTAGCACATACCTAGATCGAGCCCAAATACTGCTTACAGTTGTATGTGAAGCAAAATACAGGTGGTCGTCAATTTATAATCGGTTGCTTAGTAGCCATTCAAAGTTATGAAGAATCCCAAAGCTACTTACAAACTGGGTTTGAAGTTTTGATGGCTGCCCCCCCCCCCCCCAATATAGTCACATGATCACATTTTGGGCACTCGATAGTCAGCCTACATTTATGGTCAACTGCAGCATCCTACTGTCACTGTCAACTCGCGAAGCATCCCTGACCTGCTCTCGAGTTACCACAGGCAAGGGGCATTGGCCATCGAACCTCGCAGCTGCATCAAGGAACTTGCATTTCAGTCAAAACAAAGCACATTCCAGCCGGTAACGTCAAGGTCATCTCTACGGAAACCCACAGTGGCCGGAGGGAGTGACTTCTACAACCTGCGTAATTGCTTCATTGGGGAATGAGACTGATGACACATCTTGGGGAGGAGGGGGAAACAGGGTCAGAGCCAGAGCATAAATTAAGTGCGGTCAGAGTTGGCTCCACTTGGTCCATGCAGACATGAAGCTCCTAATAAATAACTGGATTTCTTTTGAAGTTTGGCCTGAGGCTCATGATTTAATTAGGGCATCGGTTGGAACCCTGAGAGTCACATAAGCACAATTTACACCATTTTTTTTAATGGAACCTGACATTTACTTCCATTTTCTGGCAAAAAAAATGCTGATTAGCATACAATAGGTTCATTTAATTACCATGGCATTCACTATAATGGCCACCATAAAATTGGGCACAATCACACGGTGACCTAGTTAACAACCGTAATATACAGTTGTAAGTGCGATCTCAATTACAGTCATAAGTTGAGGACTGCCTGGATTACATAAATGTTCCCTAATTTACTCTGCATGAAAAGAATAAAAAAATGTTCCATACAGTAACATGAACATATGCACCCTTATTAATATGGAAGGAAGAGTTTGCAATTACTTTTCAACTGCTGCTACTTTTCACACAGGTTGTTCTGTCGTTTGACTCCTCCACTGTGTCTGAATTTTTTGGGTTTGACTCACATGGATGCAGCAATTTCTCAGAGAACCACGGATCAGCCAACTGCATATACCTCTGTAAGTCAACAGTATTTGTTTATTTTTGCTGTGGTGTATTTATGTATTTGATACTAAGAGATTTCCTCAAAGCAGTTGAAAATAGGATTTCACATCTGTTTCGACCGACTTGATTCTTTCTTTGCCTATTTCAGCTCAGTAGAAATTGTTTCATTTGCATACAAGTCTCAGTTTCCTGTATACAATTTGTTTCTACTGACAGAAGCTTAAATGAAATCCCTACAAAAAGAAAATTCCTAGCTGTTATTAATCTTAGCCCGTATTTCTTAAGTCCATCACTGGGTAGATGAAAATTAGTGTTTTATCTGTATTTATTGCAGCTAATTAAATAGTAAACTTATGTTTCTTGCACTCAGTAAAGCTAATAGAATAAATATAATGTATAATAACAACAGCAGATTTCTCAAACAAACCATTGTTGGCTTAAGTCCAAATTTAAGGCTATCTAATTTTGGTTCAATATCCATGTAGTGTGGAAATAGAAATTACATTTGATGCCTAACAAATGTATCCCATGACCCATAATGATATTGTACCCAGAAAAGCATAAAAACACTACTGTATAGTGCAATATTAATGCAATATCAGGGGTTTTCAGTTCAATGTATAGAATGTGAAGGATGTGTGTTTGTGTTTAATTTCATAGTCATAACGTACACTGAAGATGGTATTTAATTTCGTTGTACGAGGTGCAATGACAATAAAGTAAACTAAACTAAAATGCTTCATAAACCAAAGCTGGACTAGGATAAGATGACACATCTTTGATAAGAACATCGGTTTTCCTTACCTTTTCTGGGACCTGAATTATTTAGGAATAGGATAAATGTATGGGGAATACATATTAGCAAGTAAAGTTTATGACCTTGATAACTTATGATGATGGCCACATCAGTCCAGCTTCTATGTAGAGCTTGAGTCAGCCTTAGATCAAACATTAATGCTTTAATAATCTTCTTTTCAAAAACCAGAACACTTCAAGGACTCAATTTAAGGCAACCTCATGTTCTCCTTGCTGTATTTAAATCTCTTTCCTTGTAAGTGAATTATAATTTAAAAAGAAAAGGTCTAGATTAGTCAGAATCCCTTCCTGGAGTTTGAGGTGGGGCATACTGATTTTATCCTGGTATGGATGATCTCATTAAACAAAATTTAGTGTACATTTTAGAAAGAAAAATTGGGAATTAAGATTCCTTCCAAATGCTCTGGTTTGTAAGTTGGGAGGCTCTTGTTATATCATTTCATTCATCATGTATCAAAAGATGACAAAAAAATGAAGATGGTTGAATCCAGTCAGTTTTCCAGCACTGCATATGAATCCTTTTGTCTTAGCATGTCTGAGCTCTGGGTTTGCCTGCAGAAGTTGGAGGGCAGCCTGGCTGACCATACTTAGTTGCAGTTTTCCCAGTTAGAGATTCTCTTCTTTCTTATACATTATCTTCTTATTTATACAAATCATTTCATTTGGGTAATAGAGTGGTGCAGTGGCCTGGAGGTGGAGCTCTTGTCTCACGATTAGGAGGCTGTTAATTCAATCCTAGATATTTCTTTCAGGGCACAAAATATCTAGGCAGATATTTCTTTCTGGGCACAATGAGTAATTATCTGTTGATTACTCTGCATTGACCACAGGAAGGGCATACGGCCAGTAAGCACTGTGTTCCATTCAGTTGCCCCAACTCCACCCTGATATAAGGAATTATGGGGTCATTAAGAGACAAAAAAAAAATCAATTTGGGTAATAAAACAGCAGTCAGACTTACCTTATACTGTGCCATTTTCTATTGGCAGAGACCAGAGAGTTAACTTATAGCTGCAATTTTGAATGTGTGCAATTATTTTTACTTCTTTAATATACTGTACAATATGAAGATGAATATCAGACATAAAATGTTCTTCCTTTCTTAATTATATTGATAGATTTATTTTTAAAAAAACATTAAATACACTATTCGTTCTCTGCAGTATCAAATTATAATCCTATTTTGTATGGTATAATGAGGTGTCCATATAATACATACTGCCTAAAATTATGGATTTAAAGCTAGACTTTATTTAATATCAATATATAAAATATTTTGAGCAAAAAAACAAAATTTGGCTTTGTTAACATTGATTACTTTTTTACTTCCCAGATTATGGGATCAATGAAAGTATTGTCCTTCATAGCAGATGGCTTTTATATTTATTATCCCATGCTGGTTGTCATTCTCTGCATTGCTACTTACTTCAGGTAGGAAATAGGTTTTTTTCAAAGTTGTATTGTTTGGATATTGTGTGTTCTGAAATTGCTCTTCCTTTCTCAAGGCCTTTCTCAGCAAGTTTGGAAAACGTTGAAAAAAATAGAGCGAACTTTAACATCAGCTTGAGTTTTTCCCTTCCTTTTCCTGACATTGAAATTTTAGAGTTTCAAGCACAATAATCAGTGAGGCTCCTCAGATTGTTTGGGTGGTGATAAGTGAAATAAATTTGTACCACAAAAAATACATAGCTCTCATGCTTGACAAATCATTAGAATGTTACTTAATTCAGATGTAACAGATAACAGTTAATCAGAGTTGGAAGGGATCTTATAGGTCATCTAGTCCAACCCCCCGCCCAAGCGGGAGACCCTACACCATTTCTGACAAATGGCAGTCCAATCTCTTCTTGAAAGTCTCAAGTGATGGCGCTCCCACAACTTCCGAGGGCAACTTCTGTTCCATTGATTGATTGTTCTCACTGTCAGAAAGATTCTCCTTATTTCCAGATTAAATCTCTCCTTGTTCAGTTTCCACCCATTATTCCTTGTCTGGCCTACAGGTGCTTTAGAAAATAGCTTGACCCCGCCTCTCTGTGGCAGCCCCTCAAATATTGGAAGATTGCTATCATGTCTCCCCTGGTTCTTCTCTTCACTAGACCAGCCATGCCCAGTTCCTGTAACCGCTCTTCGTATGTTTTAGTCTCCAGTCCCCTAATTATCCTTGTTGCTTTTCTCTGCACTCTTTCTAGAGTCTCAACATCTTTTTTATAATGTGGTGAACAAAACTGGATGCAGTACTCTAGGTGTGGTCTTATGAACTGAAATTAAAAAGATATGTTAAACATTGTAAAACATTTTATGTTTTATCTTTCTTGACTCTTAATTTCAGTTCATATACCATATTTTTTGCACTGTAAGACGCACCTGAGCATAAGACGCACCTAGGTTTAGAGGAGGAAAAATGGTGTAGTGAGGGCAGGAGGCGGAGCCTGAGAGGACCACAGATAGGTGTTCTCTCATGTGCCAGCTCTGCCTATTGACCTCTGCACTGTGGAAAAGAGACAGAAGAGGTGGGAGTCAGCACTGTAAAAGGACCCCGCTGCCACAGCCCGGCTGCTATTCACCAAAGGACCAGCTATATTTGCTCCATAAGACATACAGACATTTCCAACCACTTTTGGGAGCAGAAGGGGGAAAGTGTCTTACGGAGCAAAAAAATACGGTAGTTTGTGAAATGATCGTTTTCTTTTTGTTGAGATTGGATTGGGCCAATGTTTCTTTGCCCTTCCCTTCCCCTTTTCTCTCTTATGGCAGTAATTCCATAAAGTTCTCTGTAGTACAGGTGATTCTAGACTTAGCAAGATATTTAATTGCTGAGAAGCATTCTTGGGAGCAATTAACAGGTAGCCTCAGTTACACAAAATCAATACTTCCCCTCCACTGTGATAATTGCAAGAAATATTTTGTTCTGTTTGTTTTTATTGTTTGGCAATGATTTTTTTTTTCCAGTTTAGGAACTCGGTGTTTGAATCTTCTGGGATTCCAGCAGTTCATGGGAGACAATGAGATGACTTCAGACCTAATAGATGAAGGGAAAGAGTTAATCAGAAGAGGTACAAGAGAGGCTGCTTGTGATCATTCTAATACAGAACTTTGGGATTTTAAAGATTACTCCTTTATCCCCATTTTTTAAAGAACTATCTTCCTGGGGTATACCAAATATGCCGATAAAGGAGATTATTTGTAGTTTAGGGTTGAAATGACAGATCTTTGGTGCCCTCTGAGTTGGTTGTTTTCGTGCAGGTTTTCATTTACTCAAACTAGGTGGCAGCATCACTGCACTAATTACCTTGTTTGGGTAATAAAACATCTGCAAGAAAACAACAAGGTTCACAGAGCACCATGGACCCTGATATCAAAAATGTATCTGTACTTGTCTCCCCAAAAAAGGTCAACTGAATGACCTTGCAAAGCAGGACATGATGAATAGACTCTTTTAGCTCTCTTTGCGCCGCTTAATGATTTTTAATGACATGCTTCCTTGATAGTTAATATTTTCAATAGCTAACTCCACAACTGAGAAGCAGGGCTGCTGTGTTTTGCAAGTAAGTAGGGAGGGCCAACTCTTCTGAAAATTCTGTTAATAGATTCACCTTCCACCTAGCATTTGTTGCCAATGATACATAAAAAATACATTATACGCATGCCATGTTGTTTGGTACATTTTCTTTTATTTAATGTTAAGTTTTTATTTATAGGTATTTTGAATACAGTGTAATGTCCGGGCATTTCATTTTACAAAAAGAAGAAAAATAACAGATATACTGATAGTAAATGATAATACACATAGTAATTATAGCCATATTTATAATTATATTAGCTTATTTACTCTCATATTAGCATACTTATAGTTATGAACAACATTCATATTTTACTTATACATAACAATACTCTTTCTTCATCTAATTTCTACCTCTTGTCTCTAACCATTGATAAAACCTATTCCACGTTGAATAGTACTCAGTATCTCCTTGATCTTTTATTGTCCATGTCAATCTGTGCTCTCTGTACAATCCAATATTTTCCAAATTCTATTTTCATCAGGTGGGGTGTTCTCATTTTTCAATATTGTGCAAATACAATTCTCGCTGCTGGCAATATATGTAGCTTTAAGTATATAGTCCTTTTATCATAGCTTTCTGGTACTATACGTAACAAAAATATTTCTGGCTTTAAATCGATATGCTGCTTTATCATCTTTTCCAGCCATGTGTGTATTTTTGTCCAATATTTTCTTTTATGCATGTCCACCACATATGATAGTAGGTACCCACAGTCTGATTACATTTCCAACACTTGGTGGACATGTTGTTAAACATTTTTGCTAATATTGCCGGTGTTTGGTACATTTTCTAGTTTCTGTGTAGTTTTAAGGCAAAAGTAGTATTTCCGTCCTTACATTGTTAAAAAATGCAGGCTCCTAATTCTGCTTTGTGCATTTTCGACTTAACACATAAACGACCCTTCTAATGTACATGTGTAAAATCTACACTAAAAAAATAGAGGTGAATAGTGGCTTAGCCTTCATTCTACTAGCAATGTGGTTTTTTAAATCTAGTTTTAGACCTGATTTTGGCACTTGTAATAATTGTTTCCCATGTGGAGAAATATTTCCTGAGCAAAAATCAAGGAATTTGGCCTCAATTCCCCTTGCTCCATGTTCAACATTATGTATGGAAGTAAAGGGATAGGAAGACAAAAAATAGACAATTCTTTGGATTGGTTTAGATTACACAGTGTTTTGAATATTCACAGTGGAAAAAATGGGCATTGTTTTGAATCTGTTCACTTCCAAAGCATGTCCAATTTATACTTTGGCCCCACTACTCAATAGTGCCTCACATTTTTTGCTGGTCAGGAAATTTGAACATAGTCTTCCAAAGAGCAGCTATCACCAGGCTCCTTTAACCATGATGCATTTATAACAGATAGGGGACATACTAAACCAGGGTCTTCAAACTTGACAGCTTTAAGACTTGTGGACTTCAACTCCTAGAATTCATCTTCCAGTCATGTTAGCTCAGGAATTCTGGGAGTTGAAGTCCACAAGTCTTAAACTTGCCAAGTTTGAAGACCATGGAACTAAAGCATCATGCATTTCCACTGACCCCAAAGTTTGTAATTCTTAATGGAAGAAAACTGATTTCACTGCAAGTGCATATTAAGTTTTTTTTTTTTCTTAAATCCACTGTACATCTAAATGAAAACATTTTTCTCCCTAGAAAAGAGAAAACGGCAAAGGCAGGAAGATGGTGATAACAGGAGACGGGTATATACAACAGTTTAATATGTCTATGGAGATTCTCAGTCATCCAGGTCATGGTTCAGCTATGAGCTGAAGAAGCTCCTTGGATGAGAAGCAAAAAGGGGGAAAAAAACAGAAAGTCCAGTTGCCTCTTGAAAAAGCATCTTTGGGACAACAGTTGAATATATTTTCTCTGAGCAGTAAAAATTTAGTAATATTAACTTTAGAGACTGTAGCATGTAATCCAATCGTAAATAGGCAAAAATCGGTAGCATATTACATTTTATGTAAAACATTGGTTTTTTTTCTGAGCAGAATTATAACCATTTGGTTATAATCACTAGATTTCCCTGATATTTTGTACCTACTCCTTTTTTGGTACCAGATGCTGGTATTTTGAACATGGGTACCTTTCTTTTTATAAATGCCCCAATTACTGAAGCATCTTCAGTTCTCACAAGATTTCAGCTATCTCCTGTGAGAAGACCAAACTCTTGCAAATTTAGGCATTCCTAGTATGTGAAATCATACAGAATTTCACTTGTTTAAAATTATTATTAATTAGTAGGTGGAGCATGGTCCCCATTTTGGATGTGGTAGCCTTAATAGGCAGTTTGGTGTTGAATCCTCCTTTGAGTGCTACATTCTTCCACTTTCTCATTCTTTAGAGAAAATACTTTGGAAAGTCAGACATTAAAATTATTGTGTTATCTAATGTGTGTGTGCCTGTGTGTGTATTCACTGTGTATTTTTTGGATAGGAGTGGAAAGAACGGTATGGAAACAATCGTGAACCTTCAACAAGGAACAGAATTCTTCAAGCAGACCAAAAAGAGTCTACTCTCACAGAGATCAATACAAACAGATGTAAGTATACCATTAACAATTTAATTTTTCTTTTTGTTTTGGACTTAAGAGGTTTTCTTTAATTCAGAAATGTAATTGAGTAGGGTCTCATTTAATTCTCTTACTTGCTCTGAGGAAACTTGAATATTTCTGTAGATTATTTTACTCTATGACTATTATTAAGTGTTGTACCTTATGATTCTTGACTCTTGACGAATGTATCTTTTCTTTTGTGTACACTGAGAGCATATGCACCAAGACAAATTCCTTGTGTGCCCAATTACACTTGGCCAATAAAAATTCTATCCTATCCTATCCTATCCTATCCTATTTTATTCTGGATAATATTTGACTACACTATTTCATTCAGTTCCCAGAGGGTTGGTACAACTTTCAGTGAAGTTGATGACATCAAACTAGAAGTAAATTGGAGTCATTGTGAAATAATTGATCAAATGTTGATTGAGTAATTATATTTTATTCATACTTTATTATTTATACCATCTATTATATTCATAATAAATACATATAATAACAATTGCATTATTTTTGAAATGGTGTTTGGATGTTTGTCTTATATATTAATCTTAATAATTAATATACTTGAAAATATTAGACCATCTATCTATTCCAAATCAGTTTCCTTTTTCCTGGCAAAGACCTTTTCAGCTATTTGCTGGAGTTCAACATGCCCCTTGACTACATTGTAAAATGTCTTCCTGCAGTGACGTCCAAGTACACCAGGTCAAATGGAAGGAACGAAAGGGACAGAGTAGAACTTCTTCAAGACGCAGAACCTCTGGACTTCAATGCAGATTCAGTCAACGAAGATCCTCTTGACTCTGAATCAGGAAGGTGAGGAGCATCTAGATTAGATAGACAATGTCTGTAAATACTCTTTAAGTCACAATAATTTCCTTGATGCCAGGAAATTCCTGTTCAGATTTCTCATTAACTGTGTTCTGTTAAAACAAACACAAACCAAAGCAGGCTATCTCATGGCAAGTTTCCAACATCAGGTCTAGGAAAGAGAGAATTATAGAAGGTTAATCCGAAAAAGATTTTACTGTTTTCTCTTTTCTGACTTTCCCATACCGAAATACTACCAAGAAAACTTAATGTAATACACATAATTTTATAATGTTGTAATTCATTTCATAATTTCATCCTTCATTTCATTGTACAAGGTGCAATGACAATAAACTATTATTATACATCTGCACTGAATTGCAAGTGCTTGAATATTCTTGGCATTGAAAGACAGTTGTTTCCATTATTAATATCAGATTTCTTGTCACTGAGTTCTTACACTGGTTGTAACCCTAGATCAGGGGTCCCCAAACTTGGCAACTTTAAGACTTATGGACTTCAAGTCCCAGAATTGTGGGATTTGAAGTCCACAAGTCTTAAAGTTGCCAAGTTTGGAGACCTCTGCCCTAGATATTCCATCTTTTGTATGGAAAAATTAGAATACAGGTAGTCCTTGCCTTAAAAGAGTTGATTTTGTGACCGTTCGAAGCTACAGTGGCACTAAAAAAGTGACTTACGACCATTTTTTATGCTTATGACTGTTGCAGCACCCCATGGTCACATGATCAAAATTCAGATGCTTGTCAACCAACTCATATTTATGACAGCTGCAGTGTCCTGGGGTCATGTGATCACCTTTTGTGACCTGACAAGCAAAGTCAATGGGGAAGCCAGATTACCTTAACAATTGTGCTGGTAACTTAACTGTGGCAGTGATTCACTTAACAACTATGGCAAAAAAAGGTCATAAAATGGGGCAAAATTCACATAACAATTTTCTCGCCTAGCAACAAAAAGTTTGGGCTCAGTTGTGGTCATAAGTCAAGGACTACCTGTATAAATTGGAATATTGCAGAGATGTTATCACTGATCTTTTGTCAATTGGTCTTTGTAAGATTTACACAATTCATAGTGCTACTCCATGCATGTCCATGCATGTGATAAATGAGGTGTAGATCACGAGTTTTCTGCTTTTGATTATTAGCTTTTTTATTTTGCCTTTATTACTTTATAAGTAACCCTAGGCTTGAACATGCATATTACACTCTCCTCCTCCTATTTTCTCCCCAACAACAACCCTGCGTAATAACATTATTAGTCTGAAAAGGTGCTACGAGACCTCTTCTGATTTTGGACTTGCATAGCTAGCTAATGTGGCTCTCCTCATTCAATGTCTTCAGCTCAAAAACAGGGCCATGTAAGTCCCATATTTAAAGCCTCTCTGTATTCTATAGGTACCAACCTGGTGGAAGATACTTGTCAATGTCTCGAAGTAGAATTTTTGATGATGTCTAAAGCCCCAAATCGCTTGGATCTCACACTGGAAAAACGCCCTTTCCGTATCTCATTCTGCAATCGAATCAGCTTCAGTTCTCAAGAAAAGAAAATGGAACGTGAGGAAGAAAGGAATTTTTTTCCCTCTAGCAAAACGCACTTTGTAGAATTAGTTGCCTGTTTCAAGGCGGGTTTAGAGCATTGGTTTCTAACCCCTGCAGTGCTGCTTTTTCTACCTTCCCCCTCACGCCTTCAAACTTTGAATAAGATTTGAATAAGAAGAAAAAGGGGCGCCAGATGGCCCCAGAGACAGAAAGTCCTTGATATTTGGGGTTATTCTTACCTCTTAATGGAAGAAACCTGGTCAACCTCAAATGCCTTTCCTAGATTTTAGAAGCTGCCCATACGTAAAGGAGTAAGGTTTTGACTTACTGAGTTGAATCAAGATAAAGGTAATGCAGATGCAGTCTTAAAATAACAAATGCTGGGCCCAAAATAAAACTGTAAATGTGCACCTATGGGAAGTTTTCTTTTTGGGTGGTGGGAGGGAGGGAGGGAGAAGTCTTCAGATTCAAAAGAGATTTCCAAGAATAACACAATTAGGTTTTCCTAAGTGTAGTCATTAGATTAGCCCTATTTGATGCAAATATTTATGGTTAGCTTCTATTCCAGCTTTGGTATGATTTGTGAAAGGCCATTCAGATTGGTTTGGGCTCTCAATTCAAGTTCTTGAAGACCTGGAGAGATTTTACAAATCTACATAAAATAACTTTTTCTCGTTGCCTGCCCGAGAGTTACTGAACAGAAAAACAATTTATGTTTTCTTTATCTATATAGCAAATGACATTTGCACGCATAAGAATATTGATAAAATCTTAATCATATCTTAACAGTTTGAAAACACAATATTTAACCACATATACTGACATATAACTAAGGGAAAAACATCACAAAAATATATTTTAAGATTCATTGATTCATTGCTAGTTAAAATCATTCAGCTAAATTATATTTTTGCCATTCTGAATTGCAAAGTTGGAGTTTAAAGTCCATGGCTTTAAATGTAATTCAATAGTTCTTGCAGTTTGGATCCTGCCTTTTGAAAAAATGAATACTTTTAATATGAAACTGAAAAAAAGATGACATCCAGCTATTGCCTTATAAAGAAAATCTGTTTTAATCAAGACTGTATTTTTACTGCTAGAGCACTTTTTTCACTGGAAAAAACCCTCATACCTTTTCAAATAGAGACCATGAGATTTTTTCAAAATAATTTTCATAAGTATTCATGAATACTATATAGAAATGTGTACAGTATTATTGGGGCCAGACAATATTGGAGGATGTTAAGAAAAAGTAAGCATTTCCCATTGTTTGTTTTTCTGAAGCCAAATCCAGTGATTAGATATTGATTATCATGAGGATTTAAACATCTTTCATCCTGTGTTTCATACTGGAAGGGACTTTGCATTTTTATTTTGTTTATTTTACTTATTTGCCACCCATCTCACCACAAGATTTTTTGTTATTTTAGAAAAGCAAAGGATGTAAATATTTTGATTAGTGAATAGTAATGCTATACAACAGATCTTTGTTGTTGTTGGATTTTTTTGTTGTTGGTTAAACATCCCAGAACAATGCAGCCTTAAAGCCACAGTGCTTGGCAGAATTTTTATGAGTACAAAGAGATGTTTTTGCATTCTTGTTTGTAACAGCCGTATAAATAATGTGTGATAATTTATTGGGCATTTCCTTATAGTGTCCTAATTCAGGTGTAGCATGAGAAAGAGACAAGGAAGAGATGGAAGAAAATAGACACAGTAATGGTTGATCCGTGTATTTTATAACACGTAAACCAAAACATTCATTTTAGAGGGAGAAAGGTTATTGTGATTCACAGTAGCTTCAGTGAAGCATCATTTTAGGCAATGTGCATCTGGAAAGCCAATGGCTTATCTGTAAAGTATGACTTGGGATACTATTTTCACGAATGCTGAAATTACACTCTGTGCTCAACCTACCAAATTATGATTAATGGAAACTGGAATGTACTGGCAAAGGAATTTGCAAATTATTACATTAATCCCAGTTTAACATTAAGCTTAGAATTTAGAAATTATTTCGATGCCATAAATTGTTCCAAACATCTCAAGTCTATTAAGAAAAGCCGCTTTAGAGTTACCAAATTTCTTCCAAACATTTTTTGATCCCCCAAAAAAGGTCCAATAGTTTTAATGCCTTATTTGTTTAGATAAACAGAAATTTTGTTAACTACTAAATTGAGAACTTAACAGGCTTCTGAAAGGTTGTTAACATGTTTGGCTCAAGTGCACAATTGCAGACTAGATGCTCACTTTTGCTTTGAAGAGTGAGCTGGAATTTCACATGTAATTTCCTTCAAAGTTTGGAAATGGACTATGCTGTGGGATATTCTCAGGTGACTGGCAGATCAAGGGAAGGAGATTGGGTTTAAATAGTACTTTTTTTCTTTTTGGGAGACAAACATGTTTTTATCTGGAATCACCTTCAAATTGAAATCAGGCAGCTTGCATAAAAGCATATAAAACATTCCAGTCAGCCATTCAAACTTCTTCATCCATTAAGTATTAAAACTTTAGTGTCATGCTTTATGCACGCTGCTTTGGAACTTCATGCCCCAACACAAAGATTTAAAACATTTTTATATATTTTTGAAGCTGACTCATTTTTTCACTTGTAAGAGTGTCATGGTCACTTTGCTTGTTGTGTGAAGAATTTTGATTTCTTCTTTTAAAACAAATTGGAAAATGTGGCTTTTTAGCAGATACATTCATGCAAAACTTTATATTTGCCATTGAATTCTTTATTTATACCTAATGGTAAGTATTGGAACTAATTGCTTTGTAAATAATATTGGGGTCATGATCAATAAGGTATATATTTGCTGCCAGTAAGTAATTGTTATTTATATCTAATTAGGGATGTGTGCATTACTGCAGTATAAATTAAAGTAAAATGTAATGGTGTATATGAATGGAATTAAAATGAACTTTACAATATGTTTCACTAATTGTCAATGTTTGGTATGTAACTGAAATGCTGAAGGAGATGCCTGAACTGAGTGCAGAGAATTCAAAAAAATAAAATTAGGGGCATCTGTATAGTAAATAGTTTTTTAGTTGTGGGAAACATTACAAAATGTGTAGTACTACTGAAGAAATCATTTTGAAACAGAATTTTCACAATTTTTATTTGCACAAAATTATGCTGCTAATGGTGTTGTCAAGGAATGGTTGAAACATTTTTTTTTTCATTTTCCACAGAGCTCAAAATAGTGAAGATCAGCTAATTGAATGTTATTTTGCAATCTTGGTAATATAATACTGTATATATTACAAGATGCCATGATTTTCATTTTTGTCATTATCAATACTTGGAGACATACGGTTCACTTAAAATTAAAATAAGCATCATTTGCGGAATAAAATGGAGAGTTATGCCAAAAAATCTGTGTTCTGAATTTAGCAATTCCGGTGCTAGTTTTTCTTCTGTGGTTATTTCTAAAAATGTACAAAAAGAAAGGAAAAGGAGAGATTTGATGTTGAGAGATCTGAATATGTCCATCCAAACTGTCTTTAAAGGGCTTTTCCCACCTTTGTTACTTTCTATTACTTCTTTCTGCAATTTCTGTCTATGCTTCCTAAATCAGAAAATATTTCAATTACATCATGATTTCTCTCTGTGTAACGTGAATTTTGAGTGTGAGTTTCTTATTTTACCAATAAGTGCTCCTTTTGCTGTAGTGTATCTACTGATATTGGCCATACTACAAGTGTTCAATGTGAAGGAAATTTGCCAGAATTGCACCTCTTGAAAATATAGAAGTTATGCTAGATTTTTATTTGTATTTGTGGATGACATGACTATAGATCAAAAGTTACCAAAAGAAATCAAGAGGATGATTTACACTACCAATGGGACAAATACCATTTCACTAATAATGGAGCAAGCTTGTGTACCTTGAACAACATAATAGGTAATCAGAAATACTGAAGCCTGAGCATTGTGGTTTTGTCTCAGTAATCCTAAATTGTATATTTACAAACTGATGTACCCATTCTGTGTTTTTTTTTTTACTTCATTTGTTTTTGTTTGTATAATTTATTTCTCTGGAAAATAAGGGAAATTTGGATGAATTCATAAAATTGCCTTGTAGTGCATGTTACACATGGGCTTTGAGAGCACGACTAAGTAAATTCCCTTTGTCTTCATCACTTCAGGGCAGACATGTATATCTGATTTGGATATCCAAAATTGTAGACCTGTAAAATTATTTATGTACCGATCTCTTTTTTTAATGTGCATTTAAATCTAATTAGAATAAAGTTTGCCTGAATGGATTTTTCTGCAATATTTTATTTATATACTGTATTAATAACACTATTTTAGATTAACATTAGGGCAGGTGTACATTATGTGAATATTCACATAATTGTACAATTCCTTTGTATTTAGCAAACACCTCTACCTAGAATATGCTGGCTCTGTGCAGATGAAAGAATCAATTATGAAGCCTTTGGTATAATGATGCCATTGTCTCCTGTCCCATGTCCAGTTGTTTTGTCTAGATGAACTTTTTCCAACCTGTTGTCTTTGGTTATATATTCCTATAATTCTCAGACTGAAACAATTATGTACATAGTTACTTCAAAATAAATCTTTAAGTTTATTGCCACCCGTGATTCTAGGATTGTTTGATGGCTAGATTTTAAAGGAAGAAAATGCTCCTAATAAATATGGTTGTTGATTGTTTAAATGTTAATTTGTCATATTGACTTTCGAGCAGTTATAATTATTTCTATGTGTGGGATATTCCAGAAAAGCATTCTACTTTTACTACTTCTCTTAATTATCTTCTGTTTTAAATCCTGGCTTCTGCTTGATGGAAGCATATTGAAGAACATAATTAGAACTATTGTTTATTCATGCACCCAATGTAATTGGGCTAATTCATGAATAAATTAATCTTAATTGAATAGTGTCAATTGAATGGTCTGGATGTTCTTTGCAAAGGATGTCTATAATTTCTATAATTAAATGAAATTATAATTTAAATGGAATTGTAATTAAATATTTTACTGTAACCCAGAGAAACTTGTGGAGATGGACGAGAATATAAATTGGGTAAATAAATAAAAGTGACAGAGGAACAAAGAACCTAAATAAATTTACATCTTTTATGAAACTATTTAATTAGAAAAATGGATCTCTTTCCTTTTCATCAGTTGAATCTTGGATGGTTTTGAATAGCCATTTGAACACTGAACTCCAACACTGATGGGAAAGAGCCCTCTGACATTTGTGGTGTGTATTTCCATTCCTACCAAGAACATTCTGGATCAAACCTGGTACTTTAGGGAAGTGTACAACAAGAAAGCTAATATCTTTAATTTCATTTAAATGTTTTTAACGTTTTTATGCTACAAAGACCTAAACAGTACATAGAGAAATTGAAAAAGATCCCTATACACGCAAATAGCAGCAGCACTTTTACTTATATGCTGCTTCACAGTGCTTTACAGCCCTCTCTAAGTGTACAGAGTCAGCATATTTCCCCCAACAATTTGGGTCTTCATTTTACCCACCTTGGAAGGATGGAAGACTAAGTCAACCTTGAGCCTGGTGAGATTTGAACTGCCAAATTGCAGGCAGCCGGCAGGCAGCAGAAGTAGCCTGCAGTACTGCACTCTAACCATTGTGCCACAGGCTCTGATCTTAACCTAATCCCATGTCTTAACTGTCCCCTCAAGGTTCAGGATTTGTATCTTCCAGCTTCCAGAGTCTCTTCCTATATCATTTAACTCTCTTGTCCCCCCATTCCCCAAATAATCACAAGCGGACATGGTCAAAAGTCCAGGATAAAATCATCTGGTTGCAAAATTGCCAGGGAGCTACCATTTCATATATACAACTTTCAAACACAACATAGGAGATGGCAAGAAGGCAGCAGAGAAGCCTTGAAAGATTTCTGTCATTTGATTTACACTTTTACAATCAAGCTTGCCATAACCTCCACAAACCAGTCCAATATTTTGGAAACTACTGGAGTAGTGCAGACAAATAGAGGTACAAAAAAGCATCCATGAGGTGAGTAGCTGCTAATTGTCTATTTTCATCTGGAGCAAAAATTGGAGAGGGGGGTCTCTGTAAGGGTAGCTCAGAGAGTGGGATGCTGATTTAATGGTACTCTGCATCTTCAGATTGGTGTTTTCTGCATTTTTAAACAACTTAATTTCGGGATGAATTCTGACTGCTTTATGATTGCGTGATCAAAATTCTGCTTGCTTTTTATGTGCATCGCATGTATGTTACACATAAAACAAGTGTGGCTTTTATCATATCTCAAGTTGACCTTTTTTTAAACTACAACATGGAGACACCTCTAGATCGCAAGTTGAAAACACAGATAATGTGGCAGTTTCCTTATATTGCAGAAATTTCTGACTTTTGCATTCTTTTTGCAGGAAGGCACTAAACCTGCAAACCTACTGGTTAAAATGCGAACAGAAAAAAGAAATTATTTTATTGGATTTCTCTGTTATTTCAGAAACAAAAAAAGTATATATTATACTACAGCAAAACATCAATCATATTCACGGAATCATTCTAATATTAAGATGAAAAGCATTTGTGCTCTTGTCATTAGTAAACTAAATCTTGATCTACCTACACCTAAAAGGTATATGGTCTCTGACCAAAAGATTTCTAAAACCCTATTTTGTACAAGTGTACCATTTGTTGTATGTTGTGTTAATTGTGCGCCAACTCAGAAAGCTCAAATTGCCCAAGGAGCTGCTGATCCAGTTCTACAGAGGAATTATTGAGTCTGTCATCAGCACCTCTATAACTGTCTGGTTTGCTTCTGCAACCCAACAATACAGATACAGACTTCAGAGGATAAAAAACAATTACTACCAACCTGCCTTCCATCAAGGACCTGTATACTGCACAAGTCAAAAAGAGGGCTGTGAAAATATTTACATCCTCACATCCTGGACATAAACTGTTTCAACTCCTACCCTCAAAACGACGCTATAGAGCACTGTACACCAGAACAACTAGACACAAGGAGAGTTTTTCCCCGAAAGCCGTCATTCTGCTAAACAAATAATTCCCTCAACCCTGTTCAACTATTACAAAGTCTGCACTACTATTACTGTTAATCTTCTCATCACTCCTTATCACCCATCCCCTCCCATTTATGACTGTATAACTGTAACTTTGTCGCTTGTATCCTTACGCTTTATATTGACTGTTTCCTAGTATGATTTGATTGCTTATTGTACCCTATGACTATTATTAAGTGTTGTACCTTATGATTCTTGACGAATGTATCTTTTCTTTGATGTATACTGAGAGTATTTGCACCAAGACAAATTCTTTTTGTGTCCAACCACACTTGGCCAATAAAGAATTTTATTCTATTAAATATTTCAAAGAAATAATTCTTTGCCTAGAACTTACCTTTCCTTCCATAATAGTGACTGGAGGAATCTCCAGCAGTCCACACAGAAAACTTAGCATTTCATGGGCGTATGTAGGTTCAAACCTTTTCTCTTGAATTGTAACCTTCCACATCATTTTCTCTCTTTCCATTTTTTTTACGGAAAAGCAAGTTCAGGTGAATTCCCTTTTCCTCCTCTGCACCGAAAAAGAGAAAGCTTTCGCTAGCAGTAAAAAATAAAGTATTGCCTAAGACAGTGGGATCTGTAGTCACCCTGAAAGCCAGATGCAAAACAGAGGAACATAGCATGAAAGAGCATCTCTAGCCACCAAAGAGAAGGATTCAAACCCAGCCAGGTTGCATGAGGCCCTTCTGGGCAACCTACATCACCTTGGAAACAAGGTAGTAAACTTCAAGCAGGGGAGTGATATGTAAACAAGTAACCTGAGATGGATGGACAGCTGACGTCTTCCAGTCAGGCTTCGCTGCTGGTTGGTTTCTGCGTTCATCCTTCCCCCACAGCCCAATCAGGGGAGGAGAGTGTAGGCCAGGAGAAGGGAGGAAACGCAAGGAAGAGGTAGCCCTGTTTTCTCTATAGGAAAGCGTCCATAGTTTCAGGTGGAAGCAACAGGTGGCAGATTCAAGGTAACCAAACATTTTATTCTCATTCCCCTTCATCAGTGGGTTTCCAGAAGTTAGGATGTAATTTATATCCTTACCTTTCCCCTCTTTGCTATTAAGGGCATTTAGAAATTTTGTGCAATTAAAAAAAAAAAAAAATCTGGGATAATAAAGAGTGTGTATTGTGGAGAGTCAAAAAAGAAATACGCAACATACTCAGAATAATTGCAATCATTTGATATGTCACTTTGAGATTCAGGAGAAGGTGGAGTTGGGTGCTGTGAGAGAGCCCTCATTGTACGTAGCAGAATTCCTTGACGTGTTCATCATCAAATTATGACTAAAGTGCTTTTTAACCTCCCCAGATGTTGAACAGCCAATTAATATGACAGATAAAATTTTATAATGTACAGAAACCTAAAAGAGTAGTTCATCTTTGTGGTATACAATAGAAAAGTTCATGAT